CCCCAAAACCCCAAAACCCCAAAACCCCAAAACCCCACAAGTTAAAGTCTAGTTGTAAATTTAATGTAATTATTTTGAAATAAAAATCAAAGTTAAAAGGCTAGAGTACTTGGAAATTCATGAAGTCAAGAAATATATAGCAAAATAGTATTGATCAAATATAAAGTGTCAACAATTCAAAACAAGAATTTTCAGGAATTAATGGATCAATTGATCATGATCAGAATGATTCAATACCAGATAAATCATAGTTACTGTTTGATTTCAACCAAAACAGATAAAGCACTGATCAAGGGAAAGCAAAAGATAGTTTAAGAATACCTAGATAAGAGACAAATAGAATTCAACTGTTCTCAGCTCATAATTACTAGACATAATAGCAATAACCCTAACAAGTTAGTAGCTCAGTATTGAGGTCAATGCTAAAAAACTTAGATTAATAGAGTTTGGATTATCAAAATTTGTTAATTAAGAATCCTCCATATCTATATAAGAAGAAAATAGTTAAATCATCTTCACTTAGAAACCTTAGTATTACAAACAAATTTAGATCAATTAATGTTGAAGAAGTGAGGAGAGATCATTTAAATTCAAAATTAGATTAAACTGATGCAAATAATAGCACTGAATGTTTTGACATGATAAGAAACTTTAATAAGATGGCTGCTGGTAGACTAGGACAAGACCAAGCCAGTGAATTTAAGAAATATCTCGAAAAGTCGAAGGAAAGAGCTTAAGATAGAGTTAAAACGTCTTAATATGCTAGCAACTACTTAGGAAGTATGACTGATAGATAATCTTTAAGATAACCTTTTGAGTCTTTACCAATACCCTATGAAAAATCATAAAAGAAAGAACTGGTTAAAACATTTACTGAAAGGTATTCGATTTTGTAACAAAAGATAACTGATGAGGAAATTCGACTTAGATTTGCTTAAAAGGCTAGCCTACTTAAAAACAATAATCATCATAAGATTGCAAATTTGTATGATAGATCCCTTTTTTATAAGGATATGAAAGAACATATTAATTAGGAGGCAAAGAGATTGTCTGATATGGGTTATATGAGAAAATTTGAAGAGGAAAACCCTCCTAATAAAGATGATGAGTTCAGATGGCTTAAGAAAAAACTTAGCCATAATAAGAAGGCAAAGGACTAACTCAAGTCTTTCTAATAAAATCTCAAGAAAGCTAAGTCTCATGAAAAATTACCCTCAATTAACAGAGACCAAGAATAATTTGACGATTATCTTGAAAACTTTATGGAAATTGTGCAGAACAATATTAAAAAAGGTCCAGGAAAACCTTTGCCTCTACCTCAATGACAAATATTGATAACTAAGTAATATACTTCTTAATTTTTTTAAATTTACTAATTTCATTCAAATTTTTTATGATGGGGTTTTGGGGTTTTGGGGTTTTGGGG